ATATTAATTCAAGAAGTGGCGAAAAATCATCACATTTTATTCTCGGCGTTTTGTAACACCGTGATAAATGTGCAAAAGAAGAAGATAAGGACCGACATCGCTCAGAAGTAAGTACGAACTAGGTTACCCTAACTCACTGTGCGTTAACCGAAGAATGATTAAACTACCACTATTTATTGTGTCATATATATCTTATTACATGTAGAGTACTTCTCAAACTCTGTAAGTGTTCATGCACGATCATTTTTTTCTAACGGCAGAGTTCTCGATACACCAAAACGCCACAACATCTACACCAGCACGGCATAACAAACCGCAGAGCAAGCAACATACCATACCCAGACCGATCACTCAAAACACCACAGCCACTAGGGCAACAACTATCAGACCCAAACAAGCACAACAACCAAACATCGCAGCCGCCAAATCCACCACCAACGACAACAACAAACAAACACAACAGCAACCCACAACATGACAACTAAACACACAACCAACCAACATGACATCTCAACCCAAAACATAAGCGTAGAAGGTGCATTCAAAACAGAATATGTCCATCTAGACACATCCAATGTCTTCTCCCCCCCCCCAAAAAAAACATAACCGGAAAACACCAAACCAGACAGAATTCAAAACAATGTTACCAGCATATATACTGAAACAAAACACCCCAAGCGCCAGCATTAAATCCTTTCACACTATGGCTTCCAAACTAAACCCTACTCGTCTCTCCTTCGAAAACTTCAATAGAACCTCAAAAAAAATCTCAAAATAGAAACCACAACAACCTACGCCTAAACAAAACTTAATCCCCAAACTCTAAGCCCTCTAATTAAACATTGGAAAGCCAATGGACCGGCCGCCCACGGCCACGACTTAAAAAACTATGTTTCAGAAAAATCTATGTCCTCATATCATATGCGTTCAGGAAACCCAATTCTCCCCAAAATCAAAATTCACCAAACCTAATTATGACTCGGTAAGACTCGACAGAGTGAAATCTCGTCCAGGTAGTGCAGGCGGTGGCCTAATCATATATGTAAGGGAGGACATAAACCATAAAGAAATACCAATTAAACTCCCAAATCTAGAAGTTAACTGTATACAAATAACTGATCGCAACCAAAAAATAAGCATTGTAAACATATACAACTGGACAGTAAAACCAATAAAACCTGAAGACTTAGAAATCCTAAATCAACTCGGTCATAAATCCACCATCTTCTTGGGGGACCTCAACACCTGCCACCCTTCCTTGGTAATCCCAATACCAAAGCCGAACAAACCGGCAAACGAGGCAAACTCTTACAGACCAATCTCCCTAACCTCAAACTTATGTAAAATCATTGAGGCAATGGTAAAAAATAGACTCCAAAACTATCTCGACCAAACAATATAATAAACCATGAACAAAGTGGATTCACCCCAGGCCGCTCAACCTAAGACAACCTCGCCCGATTAGAAAAAGACATCAACTAAACAGACAATTCACAGTAGGCATATTTCTAGACTTCTCTAAAGCTTTTGATATGGTATGACATAACGGGGTAATACAAAGCCTAAAAAAGCAGGACTCAAAGGCCAAATAATGAACTATATCCAAGACTTCATAACTAACCACTAAATAACCGTGAGTGTCGACCAAACGCTATCGGACCAGTGTCCCTTAGAAAATGACACAACCCCAGGGTAGCATTCTAAGCCCAACACTCTTCAACATTATGATCAATGACGTAATCGAGGGAATACCCAATAAAATTCAAACTTCAAAATACCCGGATGATGGAGCCCTCCGCACCAGAAGCATAAATATGGCCCAAACATTACTGCAGAATACATTAAATAAAATCCAAATATGGGCAAATAAATGGGGCTTGTCACTAAATGCCGAAAAAACTACAGGGATAGTATTCAAACACAGAAATATGAGTGCAAACACCCCAAAACTACAACTAAACAAAATAAACATACAATTCCAAGAAGAAACGAAATTTCTTGGACTAATCTTTGATGAACACCTCACCTTGGGTGCTCAACTTCAACACCCACCTACACCAAATTAAAAAACACCAAACCGGTAAACTCCTGAACACGTAATACTATGGGAACACCTCACTGTGCCCTCACCTATTGTTATAGGGTACAGGTGCAGGCAGCCGTGGTTAAGTGGGTAACAATAGTTGGATTACCTATAGCCTGTAGAAAATTACTGATTCATAAAATCAACAGTACATTCACTTTACAGAAGCATATATTTCATAAAATTTCATATATTTCAAATTCAGTTCACAACATTACATTACATTCACTTTACAGAAGCATATTTTTCATAAAATTTCATTTTCATTCAAAATCCAACATATTCAGCCACAGCGTCAGCATATTCAAATTGCTATCTCACGCCTCAGACTCGGTCACAATTATGTTTATGTGCCTTGTAGCATATTCAGGATTCCTGAGATCTGCAGAACTATTACACATTAGACGATCTGACATTGTCTTTTATGAGAGTCATATAATTTTATATATTGAACAATCAAAAACCGGACATATACAGAGATGGTTCATGGCTTGTCATTGGTAGGACAAATTCAAAATTATGTCCCGTTACAAGTTTGAGAAAATACTTTGCCTTATCCGGAATATTGACTCATTCTGATGAACATATCTTTAGAGAATTGTTTATAGATGCTTTTTCGCCATTTGTGTGCAACATCAAAAGTTATGGACTTCATAGCTTGCGTAGTGGTGGGGCGTCAGCAGCGGCAAACAACGGCGTACCAGATCGAATGTTTAAAAGACACGGACGTTGGAGAAGTGAACATGCCAAGGACGGTTACATGAAAGATCATCTTCAGAGACGATTGTCGTTTCCCTGTCTCTAGGGCTATAGACTTTCTTTGAGTCTCTGCACGTGTCGACACTGCGACCGGGCCATTGTAAATATTGGTGTTATTTTGTATGTATATATGTCTAGGTATGTGGCATTGCATATTATGGAGAGGAGAAATGATGTTTCATTCGGTTGAGTGCATTATGAATAAGAGAGAAACTGCTTTCTCCTTAGCGGTATGCAATGGCTAAGGGAGGTAATTAGCCTGGGTATGTTACGGGTATAAATAAGGGGCGTGGAAAGCAGCTCGTCTCTCTCGCTTGTCAGCACGGCAGTAACACTGAACATAAGTTTTTGTAATTCATTATTAATATGTATGATTGAACAAAATATTTATGTATGTTTCTGTTTGCAGAATTTCAATTCTGACGAGAAGGATTGTGCGATCGGAGAAGATGTGAAGTGTGGGAATTTTCATTGAGCAGTTCCGCCCGTCGGGTTGGTTCATATATGTACCTAGACACCCCATTATGTGTCTAAGTTGGCTGACGAGTGAAAATCATAATACGTGAAAAAGTTATTTGTAATCCAATCAGTTTTGGAAGTTAGGCTGGCGAGCCGTCATTATACACTCATGGAATAAGTGATGTAAATGTATATTCCGTTATGGATAGGGCTGACGAGTCATTATAATACGTGCAATAATTATGGCCTAAATGTATAATCGGTGATGGTGTAGGCTGGCGAGCCTTTTATAATACGAGTGTAATGAATGTATATTCCATTATGTAATTGGCGGAAGTCAGTATACCTTGCTAACATGCTCATTTTAAGTGTTAACACTGTATGCCTCATAAGGTTTATGTACTTCAAATAGATATTCTGTAAGCTCCCCAGAAAAGGGACTGTTGGCTTCGTTAGGAGAACACGGTCCAGAGCATTTTTCTCTTAAATGTTGTTTTTGATCTCTGGTTTACGTGTCCGGCAACATTTCCGTATATAATGATGTATTACGGAAGTGTATATATGTTGACGAGAGGAGTTGGAGTATTTAACATGGATGTTAATAAACTGCCATGTGTCGACACTGCGACCGGGCCATTGTAAATATTGGTGTTATTTTGTATGTATATATGTCTGGGTATGTGGCATTGCATAGTATGGAGAGAAGAAAACTGTTCACCTATTATCATCAAATAATGTACATGAGAAAACTGTTCAACTATTATCATCAAATAACAGTTAGACACTAACTGAACTAATGACACAGACTATACCAAGCGATGTGTCTCTTAATCCCCTATAATCCACTATAACAACATTTGGGATGAGGTTACTATATTGCACACATTACCAACAACAAAGAACAACACTAAACAGCAACAATCAAATGACACTAGCAACGCTACTAAACCCCCTAAACGACTTACAAACTTTTAAAGCACTAGGCATCTATCTAATCAAAACAGGCCTACTCGGTCGCATCTAAAAGAGTACAAACAAGCTTTCAATAAACCCTAAAATTCTAAACCTCTACAATTACACAAACTCACAAAACAACCCTAAAAGCAACCCTAGGTTGCCTCACCTTTTCGGACATACCTTTTTCGACCAAACACTAAATGGCGGGACCGGGCGCGAGATACGCATATGTTAAATTCCCAACTTAAGTAAGTAACTGACCATAACAATGATCGAACGATGTGTGTAACATTTAAACATCAAAACCTTCGTTTTCTACCAAGGATTTAAGATTGGGAGACATCTAAACGTGTAAGTATTATATTTTACAAAAGAATAGAATTTCGATCAAAAGTTTACAGTTATAATGACAAATACAACGTTCAGTCACATTTAATACTATAAGGTTAAGGTGGATTTTGGCCAAGGCGGAACAACCACGTATGACAGAGAGTACTTTGAGAGTTAAGAGTCGATGTGGAGAGTATGTGAAAATGGACATCACCTTGAGCGCCGTGTTTTTCTTTAAATACACTTGGTGGGTAAATACTTCTGCAGATAATTGTACTCAAATAAAAAATATGTCCTAGCCTAAATATGCACCTCCCCCGCCACGCAAACAAACCACATCCCATGCCCGCCTGTACTGGATGATGTCTTCGTGACCCGGAATGATTCGTGAGAGCAAAGGTTCAAATCTTACCTCACTAGGGTTGATAATCGGCAGTGGAAGCAGGGCCACTGGCACTAACACAGCCATCCACAATGTCCGACAGTTATAGCACGCCCTACATTTGTCCATCTTCCCCATGATGCTTGTGTATACAGCAACCTGCAGGTATGGATAGGTAAGGTATGCTGGCGCTTACAGACCAGGTGAAGGGGACGCTAATGTGGGACAAATTTAGTCTGTGTACTACCGGTGTTCATTGAAGACTGTACCCGTAGACACGGTGATCCCTGGAAAAAGCACTACCACTGTGACAACGTTATAAGTGGGTCACACTGTGAGCTTACAATGGAGGTATTCCATATCCAGTCGTTTGGGTCATAAACTGACCTTCGATGAACCTCAACGGTCTCCCTATTTGTTATGTAACCAGCACATACTAGTTTGCAGCGATCTAGCACAGTACTGTGTCAGTATACGTTTGTAAACTATTCGTATGTGAAGCATAAAGAATGTTACAGAAGAAGCAGAGTTAGAAGACCACAATGTGAATGAGCAAAGAACGATTGACACACAACCTTTAATACAGAACACACAATTAAGTTGATGAAGTATTACCATTTGAAGGTAATTGATCCTCAGTACACTTTATTCAATACAGTCCTCCCCACTTGAAATAGAATATTACGATTATGAATTAACGAAGATAGATACATGATTGTGTGGAATTGTGTGCTAATACTTATACAGTTCAAATCTGTTCCGGCGATAAGGAATATTATTTACAGCAATTACAAAAAATGCGCAGTCTTTTAGCGATATACATCATTATTGAGTTTTGATTACGTAGTTACAATCCGTGTTATGGTCGGCAGTCTGGTGACTGCGAGCGGCTATATTTAGCTGCGTGTGCAGCGTTATTACCTTACCAGCCCAAAATGAAAGAAAAAAATGCATATCTAGCACCCGAAGAGCGACCGACCTAGTTCAAGATGCTGCACGCTGCAAAATATAACGAGGACAATATTAATGTATTTCTAGAGCTTCACTAGGGAGGAATATACACGGCCTTATAGTGTATATTCAGCAAAATAATTTACGGTTTGTTCATGGTACAGTGACTTAGCGCTGTTTAGGCCAGTCACCAATATTTAAGCAGGGCCAGTCAGACCAGCATCATTAATGACCCACGTCGTCAGGGTACGATGACATAAAATCAAACATTTCACATCTCGTATAAAGTAACCACCCAATGTATATTACTCGAGTCTTATAAAAGTAAGATTGTGATCTGTGGTCCATTCTGCTCTGGACTGCCGAAACGTTGTGCATGATAAACTTCCGAAGTTAAGGTACGTAAATATCCGTGACCCCATGCCTATGAGCGTGGTCCTTTTGAGACTGTGAGATCCATAAAACAACCTTTATTGCATGAAACACCTAAAACAGCGATATAACCTATGCTAAGGCTTCAGACATTTCCGATTCGATGCTGCAGCCAAACCATGGAAGACTTCGCAGGCTGTAAAGTGGCAAGCTGCGAAGTAGAGTTGCCGAGAGAAACCTGACCAGGGAAAGCCAGAAGAACGACCCCGGCTGACCGTCACTCAAGCGATTCACTGCTAGTCGGGTGGGTTTGTATTTCCCTGGCCCAGCTCAACGCCGGTGTAACGTTGAAAAATGACCCTGTTGAAAAATGAACCTTAGGTTCATTTACATTAACTGTTGCTCTGCATAAAGGAACATTAAATACTTGTCAGGTGAACGTGAGGCATGTCAAAATGGGCTTGAGACGGGGGCTGCTTAGTTTTTGGGTGCATCGCAAACACGTTTCTAGTTGTAGGAAACGTTTCACTTGGGACAGATAACGTATTACGAAGGTGTACGACTCCTTATCTATTCAGCAGTGAAAAGAGTTCCACCTGCATTGAGGGTGGATGCAATGCCGAATGTCGGGGCCATGTTTCAGTTATACAGTTATAATAAGTCAGTTTCATTAACATTACGATAAGGTTACTTAACGCTCAGGCTGGTCTGTGAAACGAGGCGATTGTACCCATGGTATCGACTCTTATCCCTCGATTCCAGACCATGAAGGTACCAACACTGGCTGCCCATATGCAACAGTTTTCTGTTTAGAGATAAACGTACTAAATTTAATTATAAACCGAACGCGTTAGCGTAAGATTTTAATTGAAAACTTTGGAGGTATTAAATGACGATAACCTTCCTCTCAATTGAAAACAACGTACGTTTATCTCCATACTACTATGACGACTTTATAAACGATTTTTCAGGAACTGTCTCATTGTGAAGACGTCGATGGTGAAGCGGCCACTGCCTACGGCGAAAGTAATGAAAAGGGGGTGTATGGTTTTGTCCACAAGCAACATGAAACAAAGTGCATATCAAAGCAACAAAAATAACATTCAATGTGTTCGATTCAAGATTAATAAAAGGGTGATAAGGGATTTTAATCTATGTTTTCTATTTTCGACAATATGAAACCATCAATAAAGTTGTAAATCCCGTAGGCCATATTTGGATTCCGCCTAAGCAGCCTGCATTGTGACGCTAGTATTATCATTGTGACTTCACAACATAGCTCTAGAAGTAATGACGCCATACCATTGTGACTGTAAACATTACGTCACAGTGCGCAACACTTCGCTCCAAATGCTGACCTAGTGGGACATTTCCATAACTTATTGAAATTCAGTATTATTTCGCAGGCCATTTCTGGTTTAATTTCAAAATAAAAGACTTTAATGTGATGTTATTTACATTTAAAAATTGCTACCGACTGATGCCTGTAAAGTAGTACGGTTCATAGATACTTTCGTACGCCGATAAATCAGAGACAAAAATTTACGTAATTTAATACCTCTGATTTGCAGTCGACTGACAAATCAGAATCGAGTATCCGCTGAAGTCATGCTAGAATATTCAGAGTATTGTTGAAAGGGTCGTAATCACCTCATCAATCCACCCTCGTGGGTAATAAAGCAAAATGATTTTCAGCACACGTGACAAGTTAGCAAAGCTCACATACCCCGGCCTGCAGCTTTCTCTAGAAACCAAATACATGTACACAAAGAAAGAATTTAAGCACACCCTAACATATTGCATTATTGTTTGGTCCCAATATTTGTAACAGTCATAAAAGATGTAATTACGGGGGGAATTATGTTTTCTCGAGAGGGTGTTACAGTATATCCAAAGTTAAAAATTGCTTTCTTAAGCTCGGTTTTAAGCAGTTATTCCATGACATTGTGTGACCATGGCACGAAGGCGATTATCAAACGCCACAAGATGGCAAATAATCGGCATGCATAACGCAGGAATGTCTTGTAATGCCTGTCGTCAGCCGTTTAGTCAAGAAACATGCTCAGACCGGTGATGTACAGGACCGTCCCAGATGCGGAACACCTCCTGTGACGACACATCTCGAAGACAGGGACCTTCTTCGTCTCCGAGAACCCTTTTTAACAAGTACTCGTCTGAAACGGCTGTGGTTGCCCAATCGACCTTTCATCACCAGAACAGTCAGGAACCGGCTGAAAGCAGCAGGGCTGGGGGCTAGACAAGTCATAAAGCGTCCCTTGTTGAGAGATCACCACAAAGCTGCTCGTTGAGCATGGTGTATTACGCGACAGAACTGGAATCTGAGAACTTGGAGACGGATCCATAGGTCCGACGAAAGTCGATTTCTGCTCCACGTTAGTGATGGAAGAACGAGAGTTTGGATGCACCGGGACGCGGCCTTCTCCCCCAGGAACATTAAACCGACTGTTGCATACGGCGGAGGCTCGGTAATGGTTTGGGGATGTATCTCCAATGATTGCAGATTGGATTTGGTCACCATGGCAACCTAACAGGGGCTCAGTACATCCGGGGCGTTTTGAGGCCAGTCGTCGTCCGTCATTTTGACAACCACCCTCTTGCTTACTCGACCTCTGCACACGGATGACAATGCCAGGCCTCACCGTTCGCATCTTCCTGCGTCAAGAGAGTTAACTGATACTGAAAGTCCAGTTTCCATCCTTGCCGAACTAGGATGGAATTTCTAGGTTCGATCGTAGCGCCACCAGTGGCTATTACGAGTTATGTCCCTTCTATTGACCAGTCAGAGTCCATCTCTCATATCATAAAACAAAATGGCGGCCCCCTAGGAAGACGATATGATCGATAAGATCTATATTGTAACAAACCGGATCTTACTTCGAGAAGTGCATCAAATCACGTGAGCATCTTGATTAAAACCGTGAAAAGATTTGTTAAATATCTGTTGACGCTAAGTTGACGGTACACATGTTTTCAAATCCTGCACTCAACCGAAATCTGCACGGCAGTTTACGAATCGGATGTTGATTTAGTTATGCGATTTTGATTGAACTATGCATAGACTCGTTAGTCCAGCCAAAATCTACACCCGTAATTCCAGCCTAGCTCTGCAAGGGTGGAAACTGGACTTTAATAGTCAGTTACCTCTTTTGACGCAGGAAGATGCCGTTCGATAGGCAAATAGGACAATAGTGTCAGAATCATAATGCTCTGAATTTGTTGTGTTTGATAACATCGTGCACACAGTTCTGTTTAAACGCTCGGTGTGACCTCCCGTCTGGGGATGATAGGGGTTCTATTCCGATAGTTTTTGCAGAAAACCTCGTTGAACTACCTCGATCTGTCTGCATACAAAGTTAACGAAGCATTCCAATACGACAGCTGCTGATCTCTCTTCAATAAAATCCGCCTTTACCTATGTTTACGTATATGGCGGTGAGTTGATTTATTTTTTTATTTATCTTTTTTTTATTTTATTTTTTTTTTTTTTTGGGGGGGGGGGATAAAACATATCATGCATCTGCGTGTTCGTGAAATTTTGTGTATATGCGTGCTTGTGTGTATTGTGAGTTGTGTTGTGTGTGTGCGTGTACTGCGTCTGTTGTAAGTGAACTCGAACAGCTTGTATTTCAGCTGGTAATGTTCAAATATACGACTCAAAAGACGTTAAAGAACACCCTATTTATCATGTGTCGATATATAAGCTGCCACAACGTGGTACTACTGAATCAGACAGCCAGCCAGTGGTATGCAGCCTGTTTATGGATGTTTGTGGTACCGTCAGTGACAGTGACAGATGTGTCAGAGCTGATGTATGCTGATCTACTGATATGAGAATCAAAAACAGAGACAATGTTCAGGAGCATAGAAGCACTGGTTATTATGCCAGAGAAGGAACAAAATTCGGCAGAAAATGAATAATATAACATTTACAATAGGGCTTCAGCCG